AGGCTGAAGCAGGATGATTGCCAGTTCAAGCCCAGCCTGGGCAGTTTAGTAATTTAAGCAAGACCCTGCCTCAAAATCCTTTAAAAAAATTTTTTTTTTAATGGCTAGAGATGTAACTCAGTGCAAAGGCCCTGGGTTCAATCCCCACTACTATCCCCACCAAAAAAAAAAGAATCATTCATTTCCTTCAATACTCACCAAACTTATTCCACTCAAGTCTGCACACTGTTTGGGGTTCCCTCTTCCTGAAATTCACTTCCTCCAAATATTCCAGGGATGCACTCCCCTTTGGGTCTCCACTCAAATGTCATCTCTTCAGAGAAGCCTTCCCTGACCATACCATTGAAAAACAAACAACTCAGCAAGTGCAAGAGCCCACCCCTTGTAGTTCCAGCTACTCCAGAGACTGAGAACAGAAGATCCCTTCAGCCCAGGAGTGTGGGGCCAGATTGGGGAGGAGAGTAAGATCCCATTTAAAAGAAAAAAAAAAGCCAAGTGTGGTGGCACGCACTTGTAATCTCAGCATTCTGGAGGCTGACACATACTGAGTTCAAATTTGAGTCCAGTTTGCTACACAGTGACTGCAAAGCCAGCCTGAACTACATAGTGAGATCCTGTCTCAAAAATAAATAAAAGAAAAAAAAAAGTAAAACAGGAAGAAACTTTCCATACTTTTCATCATACTTTTTTTTTAGAGACAGGGTCTCACTATGTGGTGTAGGCTGGCCTTGAACTCACTACATAGCCCAAGCTGGTCTCAAACTGCAGCATCTTTCTGCCTTGGCCTCCCAAGTTCTAGGATTACAGGTGTACACTACGCCTGGCTTTTCTCACCATATTTTATAATTCTTCAGAGTTTTTATTACTACCTGACAAAACCTTATATATTTACTTATTTAATAGTATTTATTTATTTAGCAGTACTGGGGACCCTTTGCTTTATTTTTTATTTTGAGACAGGGTCTTGCTAAATTGTCCAGGTTGGTCTTGAATCTACAATCCTCCTGCCTCAGCCTCACAGAGTGCTGAGATCACAGGTGTGCACCACCACTTTTGCCCTATCTATATTTATTACAGATAATTTAGTAAGTACATGTACAGATACTACCATATTTATTTATATTGACATATTAATTTATATTTGTGTATAATACTATAGGTTTTATATGATATACAAAATGTATAAAATATATACTATTGTATATTTCTTTATATTTACATATAATGGCATTTTTATTGTGTACTGCAATGTAAATTTTTATTTGTTTTGGGTTTTTTTGTTTGGGTTTCTTTGGGGGTTTTTTGGTACTAGGAATCAAACCCTGGACCTTGCACTTGCCAGGCAGGTGCTTTGCTGCTGAGCTGTACCCTTGGCCCTTTGGTTTCTTTTTTGAGACAGGCTCTCACTATGCAGTTCAGGCTGGCCTTGAACTCACTATCTAGCCCAGGCTGGACTTGAACTCACAGTGATTCTCCTGCCTCTGCCCCTAGAGTGCTGGCATCAGCACACCTAGCTTGCAATGTAATTTCTGTATAAATTTTTTTTGGTACTAGGGTTTGAAGCCAGGACCTTATACATGCCAGGCAAATGCTCTGCTGCTGAACTACATCCCCAGGACTTTCTATATTTTACTTTGAGACAATATCTCACTAAATTGCCTAGGCTGGCCCCGAAATTATGATTCTCCTGACTTAGTCTCCAGAGTAGCTGGGATTATAGCCGTGTGCCACCAAGCCCAGCCTGTACAGTAAATATTATACATCACTATATTTTTATATAATCACATCCCTATCATATTTAATGGCTTTTTATTGTGATAGGGATTTTGTTGTGATAGCGCCTCATGCATACTAGGCAAGCTCTTGAACACTTAGCTACAAACAACATCCAAACAACATGTTTATATATGTACTATAATATAGCCCTCCCGTACCTCAGTTCCCTCCACTGTGAACTGGGGGTGATTACAGTAAGTAACTCATATGGCTGCTGTGAAGACTGAAATAAGTGAAAAAAAAAAAGAAAGAAAGAATTCTATGATGCACCAGAAGCAACTTGCACAGGTATGCAGGAATCACTTGTTCAATTTTTTTGTGAATTGGATGATATAAACAACTATTGTTAAAAATGAAATGTTAGCCAAGTGTGATAGCTCCCACCTGTAATGCCAGCACTGGGGAGGTTGAGGCACGAGGATCGAAATGAGCTCGAGGCCAACCTGGGCAACATAGTGAGTTCAAGCCCAGCTTGAACTACATAGCAAGACTCTCTCAAAAGCAAAAAACAACAACAACAAAAGACAGTAGGCTTCCAATTAAATCTATTAAACTTTTAAAGGTAATACTTGGAACTCATCACATCTTAATTACTTTATTGCATTTCACTCATACCTTATGCTCTTAAGGTGATTTACCCCTACAGTACTTTATCTATATGGGACGAATAGTATATAATGTACCAGTGCATCTCATGTTTAGAGACTATACACAGGTAAATTGAAATCTGACCAGATGATATTGTGTAAATCATGGAAACTGGCAAATGTTAGAAACCAGTGTCCGCCTCTGACAAAAGCCAGTTAACCGTTTACCAGCATACCACTGAGAATTTAGGACAGTGCCTAGCATATGGTAAAGGCTATACGAAATGTCCCATTATTATATTTCGTTCTGTGCACTGGGTAGCAATGTATATAGTCTTTAAGAAAGGATAGGACAAAGCTCGGCGTGGTGGTGCACGTGTGTAATCCCAGAACCCGAGAGTTTGAGGCAGAAAGACTGTGGCGAGTTACATAGTGATTTCAAGGTCAGCCTGAGCTACATAGTGAGATCCTGTGAAATAAAGAAAAATTTAAAAAACGAAAGAAAATAAAAAAGAAAGGATGGGATAGTGTCCTAAACGACACTTTTTTAACCTTCACTAACGTCGTAAATTCTGCATCATTGATTATCCCCATTTCCCAGATGGGGAAACCAATATTCTGAGAGGTCAAAATTAAATACAGTGCTACCAACTAGCGGAAGCGGGATTGAAATTGCATCAGAGTAACTTTCGCGCGCTTTACCAATGCACTTTTTCTGCCGTTCACGCCCTGGGCGGTAATTTCATTTTCCTTGAAGAGTAAAATAAGTGGGCCAGGTCTTGCCGTTGCATCTTGGGAAATGTAGTCCATAGACTCAGCGACAGTCGCCCCTGCACACACACACACAAGTTCCAAAAAGGGCGGGGCGGGTCTCCGAACAAAAGCACAAAGAAGCTGTCCTCCTGCGTCGCGACGTTCGGCCACGTGGTGCGTGGGTTCCGCCGCTCGGTCCTGCTCGTTGCATGTTGGGAGCCGCCGTTCGTGTGACCCGGAAACCTGGGCACTACCTGATTGGGTCCACGTGGTACGTTTGGGTCCGGTGCGGACCTCGCTGGAGCTTTAGGGTTCTGTTATGCCAAGTGGGCCCGGCCGCAGTAAGCATTAGGCATGTGTGGCAGGCATCCGAGGCAGCTATGAACACAACCCGAAGCCCTGCCATTTCTCGCCGGTTGGTGCGCTTGCCGAGACTCGGGCTGCCGGCGGATCAGCCTCCTTCCTCGTCCCGCCAGCAGAGGTAGGCCTGGGGCACGTAGGACGCGGAGCCTAGCCGAAACTGGAGGCACAGCCGCGCTGTCCCGCCGGCAGGGCTACAGGGAGGTCAGTCCTTGTGCCGCGATTGCATAGCCCGGCGTCTAGTGCCGGCTGAGCTGCAGCCCCGAAGCTCATCTGCACAAGGGGACGAATGCAGGGTGCGGGGGAGTGCGGCGTGTGGCCGCGGCTGGAGCGGGATCTGGTGGGCCCAGCGCGGTGGGCTCCGAGGTGGTGAGGACGCTCCGGGAGTGTGTAGCCCGTGCTGTTAGTGGGAGGCTGGGCGGACTGCGAGGGTTGTGGAAGCCCGGCTGGTGTCACTGAGGACCGGTAGTGTTGGGGACTAGGGGGTGCGCTCGTGGATTAAGGAAACAGTTCGAACGGGGGTGGACGGGGCGTGGTTCCGGAGGGATTGGTGGAGACGGGCTGCGTGGCGGGCTAATGCAGAGCGCCGGGGTAGCAGTAAAGGCGATAATGGTGAACGTCTGGAGGGACCAATAGAGCTAGGGAGGGGTCTCGATCGAGGGACTGATGAGGGCCGTGATGAGCGGGGAGACCGTGAGAGGCTGATGGGTGGGGCAGAGTAAGAAAAGAGTAATAATGAGATGTTAGGGTGTGGTCACTGAGTGGTGAGTGGAGGGTAGGTCGGGGGGGGGGGGGAGGAAGCTGACGTGTGAGCCTCAGGGAGGACCTAAGCCGCACGTTAATGATCGGCGACTGGGGACCAGTAGTGTGATCTGAGGCCCAAAGTGGAGGGCTGCAAAGAAAGTAACAGAGCAGGACAGGGAGCTAATAGGCCATGATCCTCTAGACCAGAGGTGGGGAGCCTATGGCACGTGTGCCGCAGCGGGGTGTTTGTGTCACGGAACGCTCTGAAAGGTTCGCCGTCACTACTCTAGCCATTCTTACTGGTTAAAGATGTAATAATAAAGCAACTGCAGAGGGCCTAATCATTGGAGGGATGGGTGAAGTACAGTAAAGGGTAAACAGACTAAATGAGTGCGAGGTACACAGAGGTTCTATTAGGTAATAGAAGTGAAAGGCAAGGATTAATGGGGGCTAGTAAGGCTCTGTGAATCTAGGGACAACGCAGACAACTGCAGAGATGGTCAGTGAGATGGTAAACGGGATGAGGTAGGCAAAGTGTTGAGAGTCACAGGTTACTAAGTAGAATGTCAGTGACAGTGACAGGTAGAGAGGGTCGGTAATGGTTCATCTGTCAGGTAAGCACTGAGCTTGTGGGGTCGGAGAGGCAAGTGATGGAGCCTGAGAACTCAGTGACGGGGCCCCTGGGCTGTGGGCTCCAGGCTTCCCATGTGCTGAGTGAACTGCTGTGTTGGTCACATGAGCTTGGTTTTCGGTGTACATGTTTCTCTCTGCCCCATACAGGTAACTGGCGGCCCGTTCACCTTGTTACTGATACAGGTGGCATCAACTGTCAGCAGGTGGGCACAGTGTGAGATGGGACGGACATCAAAGGACAAGCGGGATGTCTACTACCGCCTAGCCAAGGAGAATGGCTGGCGAGCCCGCAGTGCCTTCAAGCTGCTACAGCTCGATGAGGAATTCCACCTCTTCCAAGGTCCTAAGGCAGGCCAGACACCCAGAGGTTGCGGTGGACAGAGGGGATAGACAAGTGGGCTAGGTCCCCAGAGCTCCCTGTGGCGGGCAGTCTCACTTGGAGGGTCTCAAGCAGGGAGACAAGTGAGAAGATGGCTGAATCCCCAAGAGGAGCCAGCACCCACAGTGGATAGGCATGGGTGCTCCCCAGTGGAGAAGGGTGAGGAGCTGCAGAGTTGGGTACAACTGACCGGTATACTTTCCCTGTGTGTTCTCAGGTGTGACACGGGCAGTTGACCTCTGTGCAGCCCCAGGCAGCTGGAGCCAGGTGCTGAGTCAGAAGATTGGGTGAGTGGGGACGCTGGGAGGGGTGGCCTGGGTGAGGGAGGAGCCATGAGTAAAAACTGAGCTGACATGGGCCACACTGTCCACAGGGGCCAGGGGCCCGGCCGTGTGGTGGCTGTGGATTTGCAGGCTATGGCTCCCCTGCCAGGTGTGATACAGATCCAAGGAGACATCACCCAGGTGAGGGTATGACTGAGGGTGTTGGGCTGGCTGGTGGGTGAAGCAGAGAGCTTAGCAGTAGAAGCAGAGAGAAGCTGGGTGTGGCTCAGTGGTAGAGCACCTGCTTGACCTGCAAGAGGCCCTGGGTTCTATCCCAGCATAGCAGCCAGAGAATCAGAGACTGATACAGCTGGCCATGGTGGCACACACCTATAATCCCAGCACTTGGGAGGCTGAGGCAGGAGGATCATTATGAGTTCTAACCCAGCTTGGGCTACATACTAAGACCCTGTCTCAACACCCACCCCCTAAAAAAACCAAAAAGACTAGCAGCACAGAAACACAGCCAGCAGGTCATCATCACAGAGAGACCACAAAAAGTGATGAAGTCGGTCCCAGAGATGAAACCCAGTCTTAGACTAACATAGCCTGAGGACTTGACTCACCTGGGGGGCGCTAGGGCCGGTTGGACTTGCGGGTACCAGTGGGCCATGCTGGGTCACTCTTCCTCTCTCTCTCTCTTTCTCGCTCTTTCTCTTTCTCTGTCTCTCTGATCTCTCTCTCTGTTTCTTTCTGTAGCTTTCCACTGCCAAGGAAATCATCCAGCACTTTGAAGGCTGCCATGCAGACCTAGTGGTGTGTGACGGGGCTCCTGATGGTAAATGAAATGGGCAGGGGGAGGTGACGTGCGTGTCCTCTGTGTCTCCCACCTTGGTTGACTTTCTGTCTCTTTCCTCTGGTCTCAGCCACCCCCTCAACACACACACCCCTAACTTCCTCAACTGTCTGTTTTCTGCCTCTGCCTTTTCCCCTGTCCACACCCCCTTTTAGGTTTTTTATTTTTTCTGGTGCTAGGGCTCAGTCTAGGACGTCACACTTGCTAGGCAAGGGTTCTACCCTTGATCTACGCTCCCAGCCTTCCCTTTCAGTTTTGTCCTTTTTGTCCACCCTTCCCTCTTCTCATCTCTCTGCACCTATCCAATTCCCTCTTACTGTTTGTACTTTTTAGTCAGTCCTCTATCCGTTACACATTTGCTCTGGCATTCTGGGAGGCTGAAGCAGGAGGTTTTACATTCAAGCCTAGCCTGGGAAACTTAGCAAGACCCTGGCTCAAAATAAAAAATAAAAGGCTGAGATATAGCTCAGTGCAGAAACCCTGAATTCAATCCTTAGTACCAGAAAAAAAATTTGCTGAGCACTTGTTTTATTGGGAAAATATTGGTGAACAGAATTACCCTGATCTCTAACCTCATGAAACTGATGTTTTAGTGGGAGCCAATGGAAAAAGAAATAGTTGAACCAGACATGGTGGTACACACATATAATCCCAGCACTCGGAAAGCTGAGGCAGGAGGCTCACTGAGTTTGAGGCCAGATTGGCCTACATAGCGAGACCCTGTCTCAAAAAACCAAAAAGAAAAGAAAGAAAGAGGGGCTGGGGATTTAGCTCAGCGGCAAAAGCGCCTGCCTGGCAAGCGCAAGGTCGTGAGTTCGGTTCCCGGTACCGGAGAAAAACCAAAAAAAAAAAGAAAAGAAAGAAAGAAAACAGACAATTGAGCTAAGTGACATGTTTAAAAGTGATAAGGCTGGGTATGTAGTGCATGCCTGTAATCCCAGCTACACTGAAGGCTGAGCTGGGAAGATCACTAATTTAAGGCCAGCCTGAGCAACAGAAACAAACACTGAGAATGTAGTTTAGCTCAGCGCAAAGACTCTAGGTTCAGTCCCCAATAGTCAAAAAAAAGGTGGGGGGCTGACAGGTGCTGGTGGGCCATGGTGAGGATGTTGCCTTTTTTTCTAAGATGATTGTTTGGGCAAAACCATGAGAGGGTTGTACACAGAGGACTGCGTGGCTTGGGGCATGGCAGGATCCCTCCTTCAAGCTGCTTGAGCAGTGGAGAGGCAGGACCAGAAGCAGAGGTCCTGGGAGAAGGAGGCCCCTATGGCAGTCAGGTGAGAGGAGTGAGGGAAAGCTGGGGGACTGATTGAGGACACCTTTTGAAATAGAGTTGCCGAGATTTGCTAATGTCTGGAACTTGAGTGTGGAATTTGCTGCTGTCTTGAACATAGGTATGGGGAGAAGGTGGGAGAAGGATGTCAAACGGAACTGAAGTTTGGGCCAGAATACCTAGAAGGCATGGGTGAGATGGAGAAGGAGCAGGTTTGGACAAGGGGTCCGGGAGTTTCAACTTAGACTTGTTAGAAATGTAGGGTCTGGTCTGTGAACTCAGCTCAGAGGGACCATCTGTCATTGCTTGTGTGTGAAGTTAGTTTAGAATTAAAATGACTTATTTCCTAAGGGTTGGGAGCTCCAAGCATGTGTCCAGTTGGCAGGTAGTAATGTACACCGAGAACCTTAGTAATAGCCTGAGAATGTTGTTTTAGCTATCTGATCTCTGATGCAAGAAGATACATGGAACCCACCGGGGCCTCTAATGCTGTTCCTCTTGTCACAGTCACAGGCCTCCATGATGTCGACGAGTACATGCAGGCCCAGCTCCTCCTAGCTGTGAGTAACCCTGGCTGCCTCTGCCCTCCTTTGGCCTCCTCCTGCCTGTCTCCACTTCATCCTCAGCCATCTGTCCTGCCCACAGGCTCTGAACATTGCTACCCACGTCTTGAAGCCAGGGGGCTGCTTTGTGGCCAAGGTAAGCATTGGGGAACTTGGTAGAGTGGAGAGGTTCCTGAGGCCCACCCTTGTCCCTCCATCTCAGCTTCTCCACCCTGCAGATATTCCGAGGCCGGGACGTCACGCTGCTCTACAGCCAGCTGCGAGTCTTCTTCTCCAGTGTGCTTTGCGCTAAGCCCAGGAGCAGCCGGAACTCCAGCATCGGTCAGTGGGGTGGAGGCTGGGCAGGCAAGGAGGCACTCGGGAATGTGGCCTGCACAAGGTAGAGGTGGCAATCTGTCACCCCTCAACCCACATCCCCCCACAGAGGCCTTCGCTGTCTGTCGGGGTTATGACCCTCCTGAGGGCTTCGTTGCTGACCTGACCAAGCCTCTGCTGGACCACTCGTACGGTGAGAGCCAGAGCTAGGGGCCATCCCTGGGACGCTGTCTCCCGCCTCATGAACTGGACATCTTGAGGCAGCCTCAGCCCCGCCTCAGGGAAGACTCCACTTAACTAAGGGAATTCTGTCTTAGGAAGACCCTCAGTCATACCCGAGGAAGACACTCCATCATACTGTATGTCCCAAGGTGGACAGGTCATCCATATCGGACTTTTGCCCCATGAGGAAGAATGTAAAGTGGACATGAGTGCTGGGAAAAATTCAGATCAGGGTGTCAGTATGGGTGGTAGAGGGTTCCCCAACAAGGAGGTGACCTGAACTGAAGAAAGGGTTGCTGAGGGGAGGGTGGCTGGTGGCTATGTTGGGAGGACCAGGCACCCACACTGTGGCCTGAGTCATGACTGGTCCTGTCCCTCAGTCTTTTCCCTGCCTTTTCCTAAGACTCAGATTTCAACCAACTGGATGGTCCCACCCGCATTATTGTGCCTTTTGTGACCTGTGGGGACTTGAGCGCCTATGATTCAGACCGCAGTTACCCACTGGACGTGAGTGCCCTGCCAGCAAGAGTGGGAGGAAGGCCTTCCTAGTTCTCAAGGCCTCACGGTCTCCTGCCTCTTGTGTCTCTGCAGTTACAGGATGGCTCTGAGTACAAGTATACTCCGCCCACACAGCCCCCTATCTCGCCTCCATACCAGGAGGCCTGCATACTGAAGAAGAAGGGGCGGCTGGCCAAGGAGACCTGCCCGCAGGACTGCCCCATCAGCAGAGCAGATGCATTGTCCCAACCCCTGGCTGCCCCTCAGCACCACAACGTGCTGGCCCCCGAGGTCTGGAAAAGTGGCTCTGAGCCCCCATTGACACCTTCCCAGTGTGCCTCTTTCTGCCCTGAACCCCATGGTCCCTCTTTCATGCCTCCCAATAGCTGTAAAAATCAGTGGGTTGACTTAAGCATGATGAATGGAAAGAAAGATTTAGCCAAATATCTGAGACCCTTTTCTTTTTTTTTTTTTTTTTTTTTGGCTAAATAAAGGACAACAAAATGAACTGTCTACCTTAACACATTAAGGTAAGCTTGCCTTTGTACCTAAGGGTTCGAGTGAAGGGGGTCTAAGAAAAAGCTCTATAAAATTTAACTTTGTTTTCCTTTTTGAGATGGGCCTTGCTGTGTTGCCCAGGTTGATGTCAAACTCCTGGGTTCAAGCACTCTTGCCTACCTCAGCCTCCAAAATAGCTGGGACTACGGGCTTATGCCATCATATCTGGCTCAGTTTGACCTTTGAAACATTGTATCAACTGATAAGATTTTAGTCAAGGGATATTTACTAGACATTGTTGCTGTCTGCTAGGAACTGTTTAAAGCTTTTACATATTCCATTGTGAGGCATTCAGTAAACATCTGTTGAGGACATACTGTACGCCAGGCATTGTTCTATGATTGGAGGTAGAGCAGGGAAGACAGACAAATAGCTCAGTCCTTAGATAGCTACTAATTTGGGAAAGGAGTAAGAAATAAAACACTATGAGCAGGCTCAGTGTTGTAGTACCTATAACCTAGCTACTCAAGATGCTAAGGCAGGAGGATTGCTAGTTGGAGTTGAGCCTGGGCAATTTAGCAAGATTCTTTCTGAAGGTAAGAAAAAGGACTGGGGTTGTAGTTCAGTGTGTAGAGTGCTTGCTTAGCATATGTGAGTCTGAGGGTTCAATCCCCACTACCACAGAGGAAAAAATCAGTGAAGGCACAAATATACTGTATAGCTTGTATTTCACATTTATGCATCCTGGCAATAGTCACATACTGTGTAATGACGTTTTGGTCAGTAGCGGACTACATACACGCCAGTAGTTCTATATTATATCACCTAGTGATGTCATAGCCATCTTAATGTAAGTATACTGTACAATATTTGCACAATGACAAAATATCTAAGGATGCTTTTTCCCACAGTGTGTCCCTTTCATTAAATGATGCATGACTATGTGTAATATGTAAAAGTAACGTGGGATATGAAAAATAGATAAAGTAAAACAATGAGAATTAGAAATTCTAGGTAGGTATAGCTGTTAGCAGTTTTGAAAGGACTGTCATGAATGGGTCTCCCTGGGTAATGTTTAAGTAGAAACTTGACACAGTAGAGAGGACACAGAAGAGTTCCAAGGGTAAAACTGAGTCATGACTGGTCCAATTGACCCATAGCAGAATTTGGTAAGCCCCAGGTGTTAAGAGGATGTCCATTTTTTTGACAGTGCCCTATCAGGTTATTCTGACTAAGCCTTCTCTTAAAAAGAGACCTTTTTTAAAAAAAAAATGAAATCACAGCTGGGCACAGTGGCACGTTCCTATAATCCCAGCACTCAGAAGGCTGAGGCAGGAGGATCGTGAGTTCAAGGCTAGCCTGCACTGCATGGTGAAACCATGTCTCAAAAAGACAAAAGTTCGGGGGCTAGGGATTTAGCTCAGCGGCACAGCACCTGCCTGGCAAGTGCAAGGTCGTGAGTTCGATTCCCGGTACGGGAAAAAAAACAAAACCAAAAAAAAAAAAAAAGACAAAAGTTCCAGCTCAGTTAAAAGGATTGACAACAACACTAAACATTTGGAAGGATGAATAACAGTTGCAACCTTGGTCTGTGCTGCTGGGCACGTAAAATAGCACCGCCACTATGGAGCACTGTCAGGTGTGTGTGTATGTGTGCATGTGTTTGAGACAGGGTCTCACTATGTAGTTTTGGCTGGCTTTGAACTTACTGTGTAGCCCAGGCTACTAAAGCTGCCAATTCCATTCCTAAGAAATGAGTACTAGAGGAGTGGCAGCTATTGCTCAGTAGTAGGCTGTAGGCCTAGCATGTATGAGGCCCAGGTTTGCATCCCCAGCAGTACAGAAAAAGAGAAAGAAGTAGTAGAATACTAGAATGTTTATAGCAGCACTCTTTGTAACACCTCCATTAAATCATGGTCTATTCACAGTGGGGAATCACACAGCAGTGAGGGTGAACATCCTACAGTTATACAGAATAACAACTTACAGCTAATCAACTGAACCCCTATGTGTTGTGCATTTTTCTATATGCTATTATTTGCAATAAAAGGGGGAAGTCAACAATGTTCAAGCTTAGTGAACAATGATTATAAAAGAAAGTGGGGTTTTTTGGGGGGGGTGCTGGTATCAAACCTAGGGCCTTGCATTTGATAGGCAAGCACTCTACTACTGAGCTACATACCCTCACCCCGAGGACATGCAATTTTGTTTAAAATTCTTTTTTTTTTTTTTTGTCTTTTTGTGACAGGGTCTCACTATGCAGTTCAGGATGGCCTTGAGCTCACTTTGTAGCCCAGGCTGGTCTTGAACTCACAACGATCCTCCTGCCTCAGCCTCCTGAGTGCTGGGCTTACAGGTGTGCGCCACCATGCCCAGCTAAAATTTTCCTTTTCTTTGACTTTCAGTTAATTGGCAAGCTGACAACTCAGAAGATGCTGCCTGTCAGGAAAAGCAGAACTTGAGCTGATGAACTTATCCTCAGATATCATCAACAAGGCCTGAAGACAAGCCAGGAATGGGATTCTGCAATAGCCATTTGAGACACAGTGCCCAACACCTACAACTTAAAGGAGAGGTTTACTTTGGCTCATATTTTTTAGTCCATAGTTGACTGGCTCCAAGGAAGAAAGGCATGGGAATGACATGGGTGGTTACGTTTTTAACAGTTCCAGCATTGCTGAGAAGTTTCCTCTGTGACTCAAAGCAAACTCTTAGCTGTGAGCACCTGTAAAAATCAAAAGAAAGGGGCTGGGGATTTAGCTCAGCAGCACAGCACCTGCCTGGCAAGTGCAAGGTCATGAGTTCGATTCCCGGTACGGGGGCAGGGGGGGATCAAAAGAAAGTAACATATACCACCACAAGATGAACATTCCCATTCCAAAAGGGAGGAATAGGGAGAGGAAAAGGAACAGGACCAAAACAAGACCAAAATCTAACATTAAGAGCTGTAGCTCCATGTCCAGTACTTGGGCCAAGTTGTGGCGAGATGGAAACTCCAAATTGTTTCGGTGGCCACACCCCTGTGGCTTTGCCATTTGAACCCCAATGACTTCTCTCAATAGCTCTGCTCACTGCCTGTAGAGGAATGCTACGTGATGTTCCATGTTCCTAGCATCTGTAACTTCCTGGAATCTCCATTGCACCTCCAACTTTACTCTCACAGCTTCATGCGTTGACCTCCCAGGTCTTATGAAATCTTAGTGGAAGCTTCCTAGACCCCATAAGTCTTGAATTCTATATGCCTGTAAAACCAGCACCATGTGGATGATGTCAAGGTCTGTCACCAGCTCAAGCGGTAGCTGCGCCCTTTTATTATCATCTCTGCAACAGCCCCTCAATGGCTGAGCACTGTAGGGAACATCATTGGTCTCTCATACCCCAGAGAAAAATGGCGGTGGGTTTGAGAAAAAAAAAGAAAAGAGAAGAGCTGGGGTCAGGTGGAGGTACCTCTTGCCTGATGAGCAGGAGGACTGACTTCAACAGTAGGGGATTTTATGTTATACACTTGCAAATTTAGTATCATGGGAGGGTAATGTTGCCTAGCGACTAACGACTGTAATTGTCTGGCAGGATGCCTTTTTCAGTACTGAGGTAGCTTGACTGCTTGACCAATAACCAGCTCCAGTGGCTCCCAGCATATCTCCCTTTTCTGTTTAGTTGCAGAAGTGATGCATGTTCAATTGAAGCTAGAAAAGCTGTGCTTGAAGAATATAGTCCAAAGTCCATAACTGGTCAGTTCTCAGTCTAGCTGGCAATTGTCAGAAGTTGCTGGTGACTTGAACCTATTACCGTGGCATTGTTTCTTTACATCTTGTGGTTACACTTTTCTGCTGGATGTTTAAGACCAAGTTAAAGTGAGATCTGTATAAAGAAAAATTTAACTTTTTGCTATCTATCAGGGTCAGTTAAGTCTTAGGAATCATCTTAGAACCAAGCATAGCATCTCTTGATCTTCTGTCAGTGTCAGTCATCTGGATGAGTCATGGCCATTGCTTGACCAAGGTGCTTTCTGTGAAAGCCTGAGAGATTTTTTCCTCTCCTGGGGACTCTCCTCAGGCACACTATATATCGCAGAATCACTTTCCTCTGTGATCCCATAATCTCCTTGATCAGAAGATCAGGGACTCAACTGAGTTATAGGACATTACAGAGGTTCTCTTATGTCCTGAGTCTTCACTGACCTGGCAAGGCATGGCCAAAATATTGACTGTCCTCTTAGCCCAATTAATCTCTCTAATTTTTGGTTTCCAAATCTCAGTTGTTAAACATCCAGCAGAGAAGATTAATGACACAACATTGTAATGGAGGCAATAAGCTTAATATTACCATCTGATCTGAATAGCAAACACCTTAGAACATACAAATGGAACCATTACTTTTTAACAACCATGGATATCCTAATGTTTAAATCCTCCTAGAATGTTAACAGGCAATAGTTACATATTTTTACACAAAAATTCAGATATCAAAACCATACATAACATTGCTACATGACAATCATGATGACATTTTGTAACATACTTAAATTTTCATTTTGACATGACATTACCCTTTTAACCAATCATCTCTATCTAATGCATAGGAAGCTTTTATCTAATTTGTTGTCCTTTAATGGGATATACATCACAAGGTTTTGTGAAAGGCAGAGGTCTGACTCTGAAGGAAAGTCTTATCACAATATACAATCTTTGTTTCACATTTTGGAAGACCTATAGATCCAGAATCATGAATACATTTAATACACCATGAGATTAACACTAATGAATTACCATGCACATGTGAAAACCTTTGTTAAAATTTAGTTTTGTACCAAGAGCCTCTTTTATGAGAAAACCTTACTGTAATTTTTACTGAAAAACTTTCTTTCGGCCAAGTGACCCAATTATTGGGGTGTCTCCCAAGAGACTATGGAGATCATTGGGGGCTCCTTATTAATGAATTAAGGTTGGCCACTCCTCTATTCACCAATTTGAATCCTCCCCAATAATTTCTCCTCCTAAGGACTATAGTTAAATATCTTAATTTTGATATCATTTAAACCAGCTGGTAAGTTAGGTGAAAGCATGCTTTTAAATCTATAACCCAGTTGTATTATGAACAAATGATAAAAGAAAAATTGAGCTCAAAATAAAGGGGAAAATCAGCTGTTCACAGAATGACAAACAAGAACACAGAACAAACACACTTCTATACAGAATCAGTGCACTCAAATATATTTTTGACCAAATTGAATTACAGTAACTCTATTATAATCTTAGAAATTTATAATTCAGATAGACTAGTCAGATTTTGTTGTCAATTAGCAGAGATCTCTTATCAGAAAAATTTAGATAAAACACAATCCTTAATCTATAATGAATATATATTTATATTCTTCGTATTTTATTGTGTCTTAAGAATACTGATAATTTTCAGCTCAGTTATCTCTATATACTCTGTCATTTATTTAAATCTTTAATTGCCATTTTGATTACTATTTCCTGGGCCTTCTGGGCCAATTTCTTTGGTTGGCCCCGTGTCAGGTTTAGCCTCGTCTTGTCTGTGGGCTGTACAGCAGTCTCTGAGGTGTCACTATCACAGGATTGTACATTAGCAACCCCAATGGTAGAACCAACTTCTTCTCCAGATCTGAATTCATGATATAGTCAAACAGCATGCTCTGGTACCCAAATAGGTTGCTCAGCACAAGCATACCCTCTACCCCAGGTAAACAGCAGACTGGGTCCCTTTCATTGTCCAGTATGGAGATATCTCCAAAGGACTCTTCTTAACCTTTTTTCTTTTACCTGATGGAACTGGCTTGTCTTTTTGCTGCTGTATTTCCATCTTTTGTAAAATTTTAAAAATTTAATTAGTATATATCAACAAGTAAAGTGGGAGGGATTGATTTTCCTTTTTTTTTCCCCCCAGTACCTTGCGCTTGCCAGGCAGGCACTGTACCCCTGAGCTAAATCCCCAGCCCCTCCCCTTTTGTTTTTGTAATTTGAATTTTGATCACAAAGTGAGAAACCTGTATCCAATATTTTGGAAGAAGAAGTCGTCATATAACATCCCTTAACCTAAGATGACCCATCTGTGAAAACAGAAGCAATTTGAAATAACTTGTCTGAAGAATAATGACAGTTAATAACACCAGAGAAATTAGTCTAAAATCTGGATGGAGCCAATTAATATTACCAAATAGTCTGAAAATCATTTTAGATTGATTTAAACAGTTTGGGTAAGTTGTCTGTTGGAACAGGTGACCCAAATATGAAAAAGTTATCATAGCTTGTACTCTTTGGAGGCCAATGTTCGACCTGCCATTATTTAAATGAAATGTCAAAATTAAGCGACTGTTTAAACTGTACTTCTTTTAGATTGTATTTTAAACTTTTATATCTATTTGTAAAATGCTAAAGCTTTTTTTTAAATACCAATTTAACTTTGGACTGTAAAACAGGCAATCAACATCACTAGGAATCACGAGAGCACCGAAGACTTACAAATCAGTAGAAATCCTGTATATGATGTCAAGAAGAAAACTGTAATTAAAACAAGACAGTTTTATTAACTGTATAATCTAAAATAGGGGAAAATTTCTTATAACTGTAAAAGAAGCCAGGCGTGGTGGTGCATGCCTGTAATCCCAGCACTTGGGAGGCTGAGGCAGGAGGATCCTTGTGAGTTTCAGACCAGCCTGGGCTACAAAGTGAGCCCAAGGCCAGCCTGAACTGCATAGCGAGACCCTGTCTCAAAAAAGACAAGGAAAAAAAAAAAAACTGTAAAAGACCAAATCAATCACTGAAATATGTATTTTTTGAGACAAGGGACAAAATTTTATTTATGGAAATTATGGGGTTTTTAAAATAATCTTTTAAAATTATCTCCCTTATTGTAAACCTTAGAAAATATGATTTGTTTTAAACTAAAGGTAGGGGCTGGGGATTTAGCTCAGTGGCACAGCGCCTGCCTGGCAAGTGCAAGGTCGTGAGCTCGATTCCCGGTACTGGAAAAAAATAAATAAACTAAAGGCAAATTTTTATCTTGAGGATGGAAACAGCCTTCTAAATTTATCACCTTAAGGGAAAAAATGTAAAAGACCTTTTTATCTCTTAAAATTTGCTCTATTTTCTATGAGGCTTTATTCCTTGTGAAACCTATTCCTGAGAGAATGACCTTTTTGCCTCCCTCTAGGTCAGCAATTCAGCACCTCCACTAAGTCAGGAAATACCAATCACACCCTATGGACTTGCAGCTGCCACACCCGGAGGCCATCTACACTTGTGTCTAGGAGCCCCTAAAAATGTTTTTCCTTTAAGTAATCAATTTTATCTTTGAACACAATAGGTGTCAGAAGGCCCAAAGCACTCGGATCCCCTTTAAAAGAATCAGTGTAATGTCTAGGAGTAGGCACGCAAAGACTGTTGGGATGTACTTGAAAAAGCTCACTTAACTTGGTTTGGCTAGCTAAATTAATCACCTCTAAAAATTTCAAGACATAAAATGTGCATCTATCCATAAGACGGACTCTAATTGCAGGATCAGGTTGATGCAGGAGGGAATCTTCTTCTACTTAGCTACTCACTAGAGCCGTTATGTTAGAATAAACCACTCACACCTAGACACACCTTGGCAGGTGTCGATACTAAGCAGCAGCTTATTGCTTTATTGTCTGGCGCAGCACCTGGGGCACGAAGTCCTGTGGGAAGCCATAGAGCTCAGGAAACAGGCCCTTTAAGTCCCACAGCGGGGTGGGGGTGAGCGTCCCCTCTGCCTCAGAGACGCTTGCCACGAAGGTAATGAGGGGCTCAGCCCTTGCTCCCTGTTGTCACTGCCTGGTCCGACCAGCTCTGGTCAGCCCCCGTATCACCCTCCCGGCCCTGCTGTCGCCCTTGCCACGAGCGGTGCCACAGTGCAGCGCCAGCTAGCGCGGCCCTGGCCTTCCTCCCCGGGGCCTGGGCACTGGCTAGCCACCACCGGCAGGTCCCCTGGCTGGCTGAGGCTTCTCTGCCCCATTTCCACACCGACTTCTTAGCCTCCAGAGCTGTCTCCTCCTTTGTTTCTTGACCGAGGTTTCCTGCGTGTCTCCATAGCTCCTCCTCCCCTCCTTGCCGCCCTCTCCAGGCCCACCTAGCTTTAATCTTTTGCCAGCTACTCCCTGGGCGGCCTCCTCCATCTGTGCCTTGAGCCTTGGCCTCTTTGTGCCCCGTTCTGGCACCCCAGTGTGTCCTGCAGCCCCTGGACCAGAGCAGCAGTGAACTGGGGGAAGGGCGCTGTGGGCAGGGAATGGGAGTGGCTGTGAGCAGGAAGGCGGGAGGGCATGGCTGCCTATGGGGCAGCAGCCCCCAGTCCCAGCCTTGGGCAGAGCAGCGCTGACACTTCAGGCTCTGGCGGTAACTGGCTGCAGCTTCCATTTTATTGCCTTGGGGGTCCAGCAAGTTGCTGGCAGGGCCCCAACAGTCCTTTATTTTCAGGAATGGGCTCCACTGCCTGCGCACCCCCACAAGCGGCTCTGTGGTCACTGCCTCTGTAGCCGCAGGGGATGTGCCCAGCCTCGGTGCGTGCTGGCCATCGCTTTTGTTCTGGCCGCCGGATACTCTGTTTTTGCCCAGATTCCAACACTGGTGCCATCACAGGACAGGCGCCTGCTCCTGCATCTCTCACACAGGTCTTGACCATGGGAGTGTTTGGGATCCACACGGTGAAGTCTTATTGGGCAGAAACATTTAGTTCTTTTACAACTTTGGCAGGTGATATCCTTCACTCAGTAAGGATTGTAAGATTTTTGACACATTCTGCAAAACTGTTTAAAATAAACCTTATTTGTACCCTGGATACACCAAACGAATGCACTCTCCCAGCGGATGTTGCAGTCCTACAATAATAGCCATATTTCTGCTGGAAGAGCAAGTGCTTCTTGCTTGGCGGGACATGCGGCAGCGATTTCTCCCGCACAGTGGGGGTTGTGTCTCCACCGCCCCTAGCCTCCCCGCCACCAGGGGCGGCCCTGGCTTCTGCAGCGCGGGCTGTGGGGCTGCCTCACCAGTTCGAGCCTCCTGTCGCTCCTGCCGTCCCTTGGCGGTGGGGATGCGTTCCTTGATGCCCCCTCATTCTCCTCTGGGGCCACAGGGCCCTGCGTGCTCTCTGGGGCCTCCTCCAGGCCGCCAATGAGGCAGTGGGAACGCACAGACGAGCACACAGCAAAGGAAGGGGGTAAGGGCGCGGGGCGGCTGCGACTCCTGGGTCCCCGACCCTGCACAGCGGCGTCTGCCGACCGAGCATGCACTGTACCGATGCATCGCATTGCTGGTTCACTTGCACCCCCACATCATGGCAGCTGGGCCTGCAGGGGCCAGGCCTGAAGCCTGGGCTCATGTGCGACAGGAGCCTGGCAGAGGAGAACGAGGTAGGAGGGTGTTCCCCACCGCAGAGCTGCCAACCATGGGAGCCCTTGGCATCCTGCGTGTAGGGGAAAAGACAAAAGGGAGTGCAGGCCGGGTACCTGAATTCACCCAGCACCTCCTTCCCCACTGCAGCCATCTGGGCGGCCCCCATTATTTGATGGGGCTGAGGGAGTCTCCAATGGGGGTTTCCCAGAAAGGGCCGACTTTTCCCAGCAGTTCTAGATCGACACTGATTATTCCAGTGATACCCGTGCTGACACTTAGTAGAAGGACTGCGAAGTTTAGTTACAGATAACGGCTGTGCTGCCCTTATAGGTGTAGCAGAGCAATTCCGGAGAGGGTGCCCCTTATTTCCACAACGAAAACAAATGGCTTTGTTTTTACCCTTTCCTCCAGGCTGTGGATGAATAATCTGAGTAACAGCTGCTGCCAAAGTAATTCCCTGTACATATGAGGGGCCAATATCTGAACAGATCCGAATCATATCCAGCAATGTGCCCCGCCTTTTGTGGGCTCTTAAAGCCTCTTTACACCATTTATTTGCATTTTCAAAGGCTAGCTGCTGAACTACTAGTTTGCTGGCTTCTGTATTATTTATAATCCTCTCACTAGCCAGTAATAAGCGCGCAACAAAATTTTGCAAAGGTTCCTCAGGACCCTGAAGCACAGAAGCCAAACTGAGGACTGCCTCTCCCTTAGAAGGAAGTTCCCTCCAAGCCCTCAGGGCAGCCATCTTGGTTTGTTCATATGCTGGCAGTTCAAAGGTCAGTTGATTGCGGTAGCAAAGGCACCTTCCCCAATTAGCATATCTTTTGTAATGGCTATGTTGTGAATAGCATCGCTAGAGGCCTGGTCAGTGCAATACTCAAGGAAGTTTCCTTTCCACATCAGATAGTTTCCTGGACTTAAACATGCTCTAGCTATTCCTTTCCAGTCATTTGGGGCCATAATCTGTTGTCCTAGAATTTCCAATAAACTCAAGGTAAAGGGAGCAGCAGGACCATAAGTAGCAACTGCTTGTTTTAATTCTTTTAGGATATTAAAGGGTATAGCTTCATAGCAACGTATAACTTGTCCTGGATTTTCAGGGACTTGAACTTCAGTAACAGGGTAGATACATTGAAAACCCTCCATGAGCTCCCCTGCCCGTCTGGCTTCTTTTAATGCTAACTGCAAGGGAGACAGAGAAAACGGCTCTGCTCTCTGAGAGGCGGAAGTTCCAACCTGTGACGCAGCAAAATTTCTCTGAGCCGAAAAGGCCGGAATAGCCACCTGTGGCTCAGTCAGTTCCATGGAGTGTTGTGAGATAGGGGTCGCAGGAAAACGCCTCTCGGGTGGGGGAAAGTCCCTTTTGTCCGCCACCATTCTTTACTTCTTAAATTGGACCAGGCTAGAGGGCTCAGGCTCTATCGGCGGAGCCGTTTCTCTGCCCTCCATGTCCCCCTTAGGCTCCAGACTTGATTTTAACATAACCTTCTGAGCCAAATCCCTTATGGTTACAAAACCCCTCCAAACCAACATCCAGAAAAATGCATATAGGAGTCAAACATGCAACAAACACTTCCACAGACATATACCCGTGAGAGTCTAGTCCCTCTACTTGCACTTCAATATCCCTTTCTCTTTTGGCTTTGTAGAAGCCTGTAAATGTTCTAGCCCTACAGACAACTCATCCCCACGCTTTACACCTGATGTGCCAGTACCATGCACTCCAGTGCTGAATACTAGCTTTCACAAATACGCTTCCCCCCCTCTGTTGCGCGCTCTTCGGAAGCGTACGCACTGCCCACTTATTTTCTCTCACCAGGTTTCCCTGTTCAGGCGCCACATGTAGGGAACATCGTTGGTCTCTCGTACCCTGGAGAGAAAGGGCGGTGGGTATGAGAAAAATAAAGACAAGAGACAAGAGCTGGAGTCAGGTGGAGGTACCTCTTGCCTGATGAGCAGGAGGACTGACTTCAACAGTAGGGGATTTTATGTTATACACTTGCAAATTTAGTGTCATGGGAGGGTAATGTTGCCTAGCGACTAACGACTGTAATTGTCTGGCAGGATGCCTTTTTCAGTACTGAGGTAGCTTGACTGCTTGACCAATAAACAGCTCCAGTGGCTCCCAGCACACTGTGAACCAAATTCTGGGGAGCCAATTCCCTAGGTAGCCCTTCTCCAGCATGGTGCCCTGAGGTTCTCTTTTCCAACATACTTTAGCCTTGGAGGGGTGGGGTTTTGCAGATTTCTGAGGTGCCCTCAAGGCATCTTTCCCATTCTCCTAATGTAAAGTATTTGGCCTCTTTATAATGCTAATATTTTTAGCAACCAAGCTTTCCTTGGTGGAAACTTTACAGGCCTCAACTTTTTTTTGGCTTTTCTGAGACAGGGTCTCGCTGTGCAGTTCAGGCTGGCCTTGAGCTCACTTTGTAGCCTAGGCTGGTCTGGAATTCGCAACAATCCTCCTGCCTCAGCCTCCTGAGTGCTGGGATTACAGGTGTCCACCACCATGCCTAGCTGAGGCCTCAACTTTATAGGAGCTTCTTTTTTGGTGAAATTAAAAACTTTTAAAACCTCTCAGTTGTTCCGTTTGCTCTTGATTCTCAGTACACATCTGGGTAAAAAGGCTGCCAATAGTACCTATGCCTCAGCCTAAATATTGGTCTACCTTGAAATTTCCTGCCCCTGATTTAGTAATCTAATATCTTTCATCTCAATCTCCTGCTAAGTCTCAGGATATGAACAGAATATAGACAGAAATTCTTCTTTTTTTTTTTTTGATCTTTTTGAGACTGGGTCTCACTATGCAGTTCAGGCTGGCCTTGAGCTCACTTTGTAGTCCAGGCTGGTCTCGAACTCACAACGATCCTCCTGCCTCAGCCTCCCGAGTGCTGGGATTACAGGTGTGCGCCATTTCACACCTGGCCTATAGCCAGAAGTTCTGCCAGAAAAAGATAAAAATAAAAAAGAGAAATTCTGCCAGAGTGTAATACTCTTGGCCTGGAGTCCAACAGCCAATGGAGTCCTTGTTCCCAACTGAAATCTCCTGAGCCTGGCCTTGATGGCATCTGCCTTTGACCATTCTGGTCTTCTGAACTCTGACCACAGTTTCCCATCAAGCTTGGCTTACAACACTCTAGGGCTTTTCTAGCAGGCATCTCCAAACCTTTCTAAGAACCAGTTCCAAAGGCTTCTAAGCCACATGGCCAGGTAGCATCACAGCAGTGACCCCACTCATTTTACCAAAGCCTGCCTTAGTCACTTTCTTCCTGGGATTCAGTGCCTGATGCCAACAAGTTGAGGAGAGGTTTATTTTTGGCTCACCTGTGTTTAGAGGTCTGTCTCTAGTTGTATGACTCCGGGGCAGAAATAGCATGGTGGAAGGGCCTGTTGCGGAGAAAGGCTGCATACACCATGGCAGCCAGGGAGGGAGACTCAGGTCATGCTCCCAGTGACCGGCCTCTTCTGACCAGTCCTCATCTAATAGCAAGTACCCCCCATAGTTCATCACCCACCAAACACATGAAGCTTTGAGGGCCATTTTAGATCTAAACTACAATATTCCATGAAGAGAACAAAGAAAGAAATAGCACAGAAGTCTGCACTGCGGTGAGAATTTCTTGAGCTTTGTACGGACTTGCCTCTTGTAAACCTTTTGGATATTCTATCTGCAATTTACCCCTAAAGTAGGGATTCTTCACCTGATAGATGTCAGGGATAAGTATAAACTTGAAAGAAGAAAATATTTCACCTTTATTTTCACTAATATAACTGAAATTTAGCTTTACTCCCAATTACAGATATTGGTTAAAAAAAAAATCAGAAGCAGTATGCAATTTTTACACTGTGGCAAGCCACTTTTTATGTTACAAGACAGTTACAGGCATGTTGAAATATTCACATTCCTCACCACTTTGCAGGATAGCAGATCTTATAATTTGATGTTCTAATTAAAAATCCCCTTTAGCTGGGCATGGTGGTACATGCCTGTAATCCCAGCATTTGCGGGGCTAAGGCAAAATTGTAGCAAGTTGGAAGACAGCCTAGGCTACATGGTGAATTCAAGGCCAGCCTGAACTACATAGCAAGGTCATGTCACAAATATTTAAAAATAAATAAAAAGTCCCTTTATTACTGCATCCCAATTTTATTTCTGTTTAATATATAGTAATAACTATATTGGAACTGGTTTTCATTACAGTCCTGTGTGTATGTGTACACACTCATGCCTACCCATATGTGCTTTAAAAATATTGAGTGATGCGGTAAGAATGTGGCTCAGGGATACAACACTTGCCTAGCATGTGCAAGGCCCTGCTTCCATCTCCAGTACTACAGACAAAAATTTTTCTCACTGGGTGTGGTAGCACATACCTATAACCCCAGCACTAATCTAACCCTAGCCCAAACCCACAACTCAGGAAACTGAGGTAGAAGGGTCGCTACACTTTTCAGGCCACTGAGCTTCATGAGTTCAAGGCCAGCCTGAACTATAGCAAGACCCTATCTAAAAAAAATTCCAAATGTCAGAAAGTCTGCCTTGACTGCAGACATGAAACAACAATTTAGCAACCCTGTGTTTAGAGCTAACCCTGTGTTTAGAAACCTGTGTTCTCTGTGACCCAAGGACTATCCATGCCCTCTCTAGTCCCTGGCCCCAGTTATTAGCTTACCTGGTTGTGACCTGAGGAGTGGGTGCACCCCAGTCTGACCCAAGAGTATACACCCTCAGGGCTATGACAAGCAGTGTCCAGTCTACCTCTAGAAGCAGTATTTAAACTTGAGTGTGTGTTTACTGGTATATCTACACTTTAGTCCCTGATGACAGTACCTGTACCTGTCTGACCCCTGGAATGTACATACCCCACTTTGCATGAGTCTAGGAGTGCCCCCAACACAGTGATTCATCCAAGTCAATGTGACCACAGGAATGTCCACGCCCTAGTCTTTTGGACCTCAGGAATCTGCACAACCCAGGAATGTATGGCAGAGGTGTCCACAGAGAAAGTGGAGTGACTCCAGGCGAATCCACCCCCATTGCAGTGTGACTTCAACAGTGCCTGTGCAAGAGCCTCTCAGAGCCCACTTTCAGTGAGTTCAGCAGCAGCAATGGCCTAGTCTGTGGCTGCAGGAGTTTCTACGGCCTAGTTAGTGGCACCGTGATTGTGAATACCGCAAATGGTGTGACCACAGAAATGTCCACATTCCAGTCTGGGTGACCCCAGAAGAATAAACATTTCAGTCTGTGGTGTTTGGAAATGGTTTTGCCCAAGGCCAGTAACCTCAGAAGTGTCCTCCAGTTACTATAATCCAGGAGTGTCCTTTACTCAGTCAGTGTGACCCCAGGAGGGACATTTCTAAAGGAAGTGATGCAGGCAAAGGGGAGAGTCTGCAAAGGCCCTGAGGTAGGAACATGCCTCAAGGAACAGTAAGCTCACTGAAGCTGGAACAGAATGAATGAGAGGTCTGATCGTAGGAAGTGAGGTCAGAGAGGACCTGCAGGGCCTCGTGGTCCAAGGAGAGGAATTTGGCTTTTCCTCTGAGAGAGATGGAAGTCATTCAGTGCAGAGGACAGTGAACTGACATGGGTTGTGCCAAGACCCCTCTGGCTGCTGTGCTGGTGGTTCCCCAACTATTTTTTCTCAAAACTCAGAACTGTATGCTAAAAGGGTGAAACTTAGCCTATGTAATCTCTAACTCTTTAAGTTGTAACTTTTTTAAAATAGCTTGTGCACAATAAAGAATTCCATGACAAGCTGGGGGTGGTGGTACACACCTCTAATATCAGCTACTTGGGAGGCTGAGGCAGGATGATCACAAATTTAAGGCCAGCCTGGACAGCTTGGCAAGTCCCTGTCTCAATATAAAAAGATTTTAAAAAGGACTGGGGTTGCAGCTCAGTGGTAAAGCACTTACCTAGCATGTACAAGGCCCTGGATTTAATTGCCAGCACTACCAAAAAAGAACAATCTGTCTACGAAAAAGGCAGTTGAGACACAGCTGTTCCTGCTCCTCTCCTGTGCTTTCTGCACAGTTAAGGTGAGGGGCCAAAGGTGCACCTGAAGAAGCGAGGGACCCTGATCACTCTGCTGCTGCTTGAAGTATCACTTTGGGGTTACAGACTTAATTGTTCCTTCAACATATTCAAACAGTGAGACCCTAGGCGCCAACCTGATTCTGTAGTCACACTGCAGATTGAGCAATAATCTCTTGAAAAGCTTGCAGAACTACCTGGAGTCACCCTCTAATGCTCCACCCAAACTTGGTTCATGCCAGATGTTTCTCCCTCAGAACATGTGTGTCCATGCCAGATGTTTCTCCCTCACCCATGCCTTGGTTCAGAAGAGTAGGCGCAATGGTGTAATCTCAGGCCTAGCGGCAGCCCAAAAAAAACAATTAACTGTCTGAGACCTTATAGATGACAGTGTAGGAGCTGGAAGAAGCTGAAATGTGTCATGGGTCACAACTCATGCCTCACCAGAAAGTTCTACCAGATGCAGGAGCTGAAGCCATTACCAGGCAGGCAGTATTACCAGAGAGACTCAGAGGATAAATGGGTGTGAATCCCTGCATGAAAGTGTGTACATCCCAGAGCATGTGAAGGTGTGTGCATAGTGTGCTCATGCCCCTCTGTGCACACATTTACAGTGCTTCTATGCATACATACATGGTATATGTGTGTGCATTCATAATTCGCTGTTTTTGGTACAGATGTGATCATACATGTGTACGCACAAATTCAAGTATACATTCTCACGGAGATGCTAGGGTGAAGACATGCTCAGCATGAGTACGTTTACA